TGATAGTCCATTTTTTGATGGCCTCTTATTCCCTTAGACTAAGTCAATTCGATCCCTTTCTTCTTCCCCTTCTAAGTTATTGTTGTCACATCTTATTTCTTCTTGCGTTATGAGTTTGTGCTTAACATGATGATGTTATATTTATTTTTGGTGCTTACCTCCCTTGATCTTTGGTTTTATAATTAAGTATTTGCTAATCTGTTTTGATAGAGAGCTGCAATTTTGTTGACGTATTTTCCTCCTTGTTCAAAACTTTGAATCCCCTTTCTCTTTGTTTCCTTAGGCATGAGGGCCTTCTTGAGCACTTCTTGTAGTGGCGATCTTGTGGTAACGAACTCCCTTAGCTTCTGTTCATCTGGGATAGTTATTATTTCTCCATCATACCTGAAGGATATTTTCGCTGGATAGAGTATTCTTGGCTGAAAGGTTTTTTCCTTCAGAATTTTGAATATATCGCTCCACTCTCTCCTAGCCTGTGAAGTTTCTGTTGAGAAATCGGCTGAGAGCCTGATAGGAAATCCTTTGTGTTACTTTTTTTTGCCTAACTGCCCTTAAGATTTTTTTCTTTATCATTGACTTTTGCCAGCTTTACTACTGTATGCCTTGGCGAGGTTCTTTTCATGTTGATATATTTAGGAGATCTGGTTATTTCATTCACTGGTATTCCCAGCTCCTTCCTCAGGTTTGGGAAGTTCTCAGGTATTATTTCTTCTAACAAGTTCTCTGCTCCTTTTTCCCCTCTCTTCTCCCTCTAGAATACCTATAATCCTTATGTTGGATTTCCTAATTGAGTCGGATATTTCTCAGCAAGTTTCTTCATTTCTTTTTAGTCTTAGCTCTCTTTCCTCCTCCATCTGGAGCATTTCTGCATTGCTGTCCTCGATATCGCTAATTCTTTTCTCCATACTGTCAGCCCTGATGTTTAAGGCTTCCAGATTTGTCTTCATATCCACTATTATGTTTTCCATCTCTAAGATTTCTCATTGGTTTTTCTTTATAGTTTCAACCTCTTTTGTGAAGAAACTCCTGATTTCACTGAATTGTCTATCTGTGTTTTCTTGTATTTCATTAAGCTTTTTTATGATGGCTATTTTGAATTCTCTTTCATTAAGGTTATACATTTCTGGCTTTCCGGGTTGACTTCTGGGCGCTTGTCATTTTCCTTTTTGTCTGGAGATTTAATATATTTTTGCATAGTGCCTGTCGGCGTTGGCTTATTTTTCCTCATAGTGAAAATACATGGTTGCAGTTTTCTCTTGCCGCCACTGGGTGGGGGTAAAGGGCTGTGTACTCTGTCCTGCCTCGATCTGCAGGTGCTCTGGTTGGCCCCCGACTGAGCTGAGGCATGGATGAGCTGAAGCATGGCTGATCTGTAGCACGGCTGAGTGGAGGCTGCGGGGGGTGAAGCGTGGGAACAGCTGGAGCTGGAGTGTGGGAACAGCTGGGACTGAAGCACAGCTAGGCCAAAGCATTTGGGGCTCAGGTGTGGGTGGGTTGAAGCAGCTGTAGCTGAAGCGCGGCTGGGTTGAAGAAGCAGGAGCTGGAGTGCAGCTGGGCCGAAGTTGCTGGTGCCAAGTCAGCTGGAGCCTCAGCATGACCAAGCTGAAGTAGCTGGAGCTGGGGGTGGGGCGGTCGAGCTGAAGGAGCTAGGGGTGGGGCAGTCAAGCTGACGCAGCTGGGGCCGGGGCACAGTCAAGCCAAAGGAGCTAAGGCTGTGGCGTAGTAAAGCCAGGGAAGCTGGGGCTGTGGAGCGGTGGGGCCTGAGCTACCACTGCCTCTGGTGCGGGGGCGTGGACACGCCCTGTTGCTCGCTGGTGGGACCTGGGTGCCTGGGGGCTGCTGCCTCTGGGGGAGGGGCACGGTCACACTGCTGCTGTTGGTGGGGCACCAGCGCTGGAGGATCACCACCCCTGGTGCCCAGGCACCTGGGGGCCGCTGCCTCTGGGGCCGGGGCCAAGCTGAAGTGCCGCTATGCTGAGGCTGTAGGGCCGCTGTGCTGAAGTGTTGGGCGGGTGGTCCAGGTTGGGGAGGGGTGCTTACTTTCGCCTCCTCGATCTCAGAAGTCTCTCGCCTTGCTGTGGCTCTCTGCTCTCCTGAGGGGCTAGCTTGTTGAAAGTACCCTTGCAACAGTTCCGCTCCCTCTGTAGGGGGATTCCCCACGGGCTGTGAGGGGTCTCGGAGAGCACCGCTTTTCCTGTGGAGAGCCTCCCCTTCCCCCCTCTCTGAGAGCCATGTGGTCTCAGTCTCAGGGTCACAGTCCTTGGGGAAGGAAGGGAGCTCCTCTTACCTCCTCCACTTCCTCTGGGGATTCCAGCACCTCAGTCCTTGGGTGTACGGCTGCCTGGTGCCTCAGACGTTCCCTGTGTTATGTGAATAGCTTCAGTTGGAATATGAATGTCCTTTCTGCTGTGTCTTAGACAGGGAGAGTTCAATGGGGGAAGCTCACTCCGCCATGATGCTGACATCACTCCCGGCATTGGTTATTTTTTGTCTTATCATTTTTATTTGGTAAGTCTTACCAGCGATTTATCAACTTTATTAGCCTTTTGAAAAGAGCACATTTTGGTTTACTGCTCCTCTATATTGTATTTTGTTTTCTATTTGTTAATACTGCTCTTAACTTTTTATTTCATTCCATCTACTTTCTTTAGGTTTAACATACTATCCATCCTTTTGTTAATTTCCTGAGCTGGATGCTGATTTTCCAACTTTCTGCATTTCCACTATATGCATTTAAAGCTACAAATTTTCCTCTAAGCATTGCTTTAGATGCATCCCTCAAATTTTGTTGTTGTTTTTCAAGTCTAAATCATTTTGTATTTAAGCATTAATTTTACAAAATGTGGTATAAAAATAAACCAAATTGGGGCCAGCCCGGTGGCATAGCGGTCAAGTTTGCGTGCTCCGCTTCAGCAGCCCGGGGCTTGAAGGTTCGGATCCCAGGCGTGGACCTATGCACCGCTTATCAAGCCATGCTGTGGCAGCATCCCATATAAAGTAGAGGAAGATGGGCACAGATGTTTGCGCAGGGCCAATCTTTCTCAGCAAAAATGAGGAGGATTGGCAATAGACGTTAGCTCAGGGCTAACCTTCCTCAAAAAGAAAAGAAAATAAACCAAATTTACAACTTAATTTGTTCATGTAAATTGCCTTGAAAATACATTGCAGCTAAGATGTGCACAAGATTTTATGTGCATTTTGGAAAAAATTACACAGAAACACCTGCTTTTTCACTAAACTTGGCCTGTTTCCATCTCTTTTGGTCAGTGCACCAGTCATGCAAGGTGAGAGTTATCCGGACCTTGTTATACCCATTGAACCATTCCAGGTGATGATTTATCTTCTCTGCTTGTAACAAGGTAACTTGGGACATACAGCCAAATGCCTGATTGAAATTTTTAAAAGAGAATTCTTTGTAGATGGCATCTCTCTCACTTAATTCTGACCACGCTTCTGCGTTAAAGTCAAGTACAACTTGGTTCCTCTCCTCTGCTATCAACCAGTGAGCATCTGCTGACCTGGCCATGAGGTTTGAGCCCAGGGCTGCCTAGTGCACTGCCTGCCCTCAAGTTTTAATATGTACTACTTTTTATTTTTATTCAGTTCAAAATATTTTCAAATTTTCATTGTGACTTGTTATTTGACCCATGGGTTATTAAGCATATTTTTAAATCTCCTAAAATATGCGGGTGTTCTAGTTATCTTTTTGTTATTGATTTATATCTTAACTGTATATGGTCAGAGAACATAGTCATTATGATTTTAATCCTTTGACACCTGAATCTTGCTTTTAGCCCAGTATATGGTCAATTTTTACAAATGTTCATGTGTGTTTGAAAAGAAAGTGTATTTGGCACTTATTGGATGCAGTGTTCCTTATATATCGTCTAGGTCAAGTTCATTAATTGTGTTCTTCTAATTTTCTATAACCTTCCTAATTTTGTTTGTCTGCTTATTCCATCAATTACTGAAAGATATTTGTTCAATTCTCCCACTATCATTGTGGATATTTCTATTTCTCATTGTACTTCTGTTAATTTTTGCTTTATATATTATGAAGCCATGTTACTAATTGCATACAAACTTAAAATTGTTACATCTTATTTTTTAGAGTCTACTTCAGGTAACCTTAATCTATCTACAACAGCTTTTCTTTGGTTAGTGTTTGCATTATGTATTTCTTCTTCTTTTACTTTCAAACTTTCTGTATCCTTACGCTTTAGATATGCCTCTTATAAAACATTATGAAGTTTTTTGTAAATCCTAGCTGACAAAGTGTCTTTTATCCATTTACATTTAATGAAATTGCTGATATATTTATCATCATAATTTATTCTATTTGTCCTACTGCTATATGTACCTTTTCTCCTTTCTTGCCTTCTTCTGGATTATTTTTTATCATTCCATTTTTTGTATAACTTAGAAGGTATATACTAAAAAACTCTTTTCTTACAGGTTACTCTAGAGATTACAACATGCATCTCTTACTTATCAAAGTATAATATTAACAGGTACTCTTCTCCTCTTCCCAGATAATACACGGCCCTCACACACTTTAACTCTATTTATCCTACAGCCAACTATTACTGTCATATATTTTAATCCTGTCTTTTAAATCCAACAAAACATTATTATTGTTTTTAAAAGTCTACATTCATTTGATTTACCCACATATTTTCTACAATTTTTACTTTTTATTTCTTCCTAATCTCCAAGCTTCCATCTGGTATTTTCCTTCTGCTTGAAAAATTTCTTTAGAATTTCATTTAGTATGGGTCTCCTGGTAATTCCCTCAGTAAATTTTTTAGGGGAGGAATATCTGAAAAATGTTTACTTCCTCTTCATTCTTGAAGGGTATTTCTGCCAGGTACAGAATTCTAGGTTACCAGTTATTATCTTTCAGTGCTTCGAATAGGTTATTCCATTGTTTCCTTCATCCATTGCTCCTATTAAGAATCTGCTGTCAGTTTAATTGTTCTCTTTTCAAAGTAATCTTTTTTGCTGGCTGCTTTAGGATTTTTTTCTTTGTCTTTCATCTGAAGCACTTTTACTAAGACGTGCTGCTTATGTGTTGTTTTCTTTGTATTCATTCTGCTTTGGCTTACAGGGTTTTTTCAATCTGTGGCTTAATGTTTTGCCCGTTGTAGAAAATTTTTATCCATTATCTCTTCAAATGTTGGTTCTACCCCATTCTCTCTCTCTTCTCTGGGACTCCAAACATACAGATGATAGGCCTATTCACTGTATCCTCTATGTCTCTTATGCTTTTTTTGGTATTTTACTTTTTCTCTTCATGATTTATTCTAGATTGTTTCTCCTGACCTATCTTCTAGTTCATTTATTGTCTGTTTAGCTTTATTGAAGCTTCTGTTAATTCATCTGTTAAGTTTTTAAATTTGTTATTTTATTTTTCATTCCTAGAATTTTCTTTTAGTGCTTTATCAACTCTGCTACAACCCTTTTATAATTTATAGTTCTCTGCCAAAATTTTCAATCTAGTCTTTTATGTTCTTGAACATAATAAGCATTGTTTTGTTTTTTAGCATAGTTATTTTAAAGTTATTTATTAAGTTTGGTCTGATAAAGCCAATGTCTGGAGAACCTGGGGGTCTGTTTTTATCTTTTGCTGTTTCTGCTGATTCTCATTCATGTTGTTATGTCTCCTCATATGCCTAGTTATTTTCGGTTGTGAGCCACATATTATATTTGAAAGACTGTAATAATTTAAGGTCCTAAATGACGGTATCTTAGTCTAGAGAAGTTTGCTTTTGCCAGGTGCCTGGGACTACCTTATTTAAATTTCACAGATTGAAATGATTGAAGGTAGGCTCTAGTCCCTTCCAGGACTCTTCTATTTCTAGCTTACCATTACTCTTACATAGATGCAACCTTTGGGGGTCCCAAACCAAGAAGCAGAAGCTTACTAGCACTCATATCATACTTGGAAAGCCATGAACCTCAACTTTTTTAACTTCTATCAAGAGGGTTGCTCAATCTCTTAGTCTCCTCTTTTGAAACCCATGAACGTCTTTAGAAGAGAAATAGTCCCAAATGTTGGTCTTATCTCTCTAGATTTACATCTTTTTTCAGATCTCAACTTGGTAATTCTTTCTTACTTTGTTAGCTTTCTGAATGTCTTTAAAGCAAATTTAAAAAATATTTTATCTAGCTTCTCTAGGTAAGAGTCAGGCTTGATTTAAAAAATCTAGTCTGGCATTACTAAAGCAGAAATCCTTAGTTTATAACACTTAAATAAAACCAAAATTGTATTGTGGTTTTAGTGTGGTTTCAGGAAGGAATGGAACTACAAGTGTATTCAATTCACCATCTTAACTTAAAATGTTATTCTTAATTTCCTTTCAGAAAAAAATTTAAAAAGCATACATTAGCTTATGTCCACATACCTTGTAAAAAATAGGAATAAGAGGATTTTATCCATTTAATTTTGCAGGTAGAATATTTAATAGATTTTCTATATCTGTGCCAATAGCTCTACTTTATTCTTTTTTTCTAATAGTTGCACTTCATATCATTCAATCTAACTCAACAAATATTTACTTACTATGCTCATTACTATAATGGTGAACAAAAACCAGTTTTGTCCCAGAACTCAGGGAGTCTACAGTTGAGGGGGGGTAAAATATATGAATCTTGTAAAAACATAAATAAATGTAAAATTGTAACTCTATGGAATGCTAAGGAGAAGTACATGGTGATATGAGAGAGCATGACAGGGCTATTGCATCTAGTCAGGGAGGTCAGAAATGTCTTCCATGAGGAATTTACAATAAGCTGAACAGGAGCTAACTAGAAGAGAAGGGGAGAAAGGAGGCTTGCATAAAGGAAATAATATTCCATGCACAGAATCTATCATATGGATATATCATATTGATTTACCCAGCTCTTCACTGATGGACATTTAGATTATTTTGACTCTTTTGCTACTACAGATGATACTGCAATAAATATTCCCATATACAATTTTTGGCATAATTATCTTTACAATAATCAAGAATCCTTTCTTAATACAAACAAAGGGTTCACAATAATTTCCTTTCCCACTTAGATTTGAATATAAATTTTACTAGACCCATTTTTTAATATTTCATCTTCTCCTCACTTAAACTCTTGATTTTGTTTTAATTTTCATTTGGCTGCACTATTTCCACAGGAAGAACTTAGTGATCTGCTATCCCATAACTAAAGGTGCTCTGCACGTTCAGTGTAGAATCTGAAGCATAAGTATGTATAGGACTCTCCTCTCTATTCTCAAAGTAAGCTAGCCTTCTCCACTATGCAGATAGATAACCTAACAGATGAATGTATCATCTTAGTACAGAGCTTGGAAAGAAGGAGACAGTCAGAGGTTTGTGCTCAGGTGCCACCATCTTTCCAGTGTCTTCTGCATTCTTAGATAAATTAGGACCTACCTTTAAAATCAAACCTCCCACAACACCCTAGGAAAAAAATACTTGGCCACATATACAATACAATGTTAATATATAAAGATCCCTCACAGGCCAATAAGAAGAAAAACAAACAAAGATGCACATAACCCAGTAGAAAAATGGACAAAAGGCATGAATTGACAATTCACAATGGTCAATAAACACAAGAAAAAATGTTCATTAGTCATCATAAAAATGCAAATTAAAATTTAAAAAACACCAGACTATAAAAATTATAATAGGGCCGGCCCCGTGGCTTAGCGGTTAAGTGCACGCGCTCCGCTACTGGTGGCCCAGGTTCGGATCCCGGGTGCGCACTGACACACCGCTTCTCCGGCCATGCTGAGGCTGCGTCCTACATACAGCAACTAGAAGGATGTGTCACTATGACATACAACTATCTACTGGGGCTCTGGGGAGAAAAAAGGAGGAGGATCGGCAATAGATGTTAGCTCAGAGCTGGTGTTGCTCAGCAAAAAGAGGAGGATTAGCATGGATGTTAGCTCAGGGCTGATCTTCCTCACACAAAAAAAATAAAAAAATAAAATAAAAAGTAGTGCTTCTAAAAAAAAAATTATAATAAAGAGTATTGGAGAGAGCACTGTGAACTATGCATAACACACACAAAATGTAAACTGGTACAGCCTACCTTTCTAGAGGTTATCTATATCCAATTTAAAATTGTAAGTACAAATTGACACAGATATTCAACTTCTAGAAATTTATTCTACAGAAATAATCAAGAAAACGTTATTCTTCATTTCCTAAAATTGCTTTTCTTTCTTTCATGCCATATATCAACATCTGACTTATATTTACTTATGGTTTATCTTCCCTCTTCTAGAATATAAGCTTATTCAGAGCAAGGACCTAAACAGTACTTGGCTCATACAAGACATGTAATAAATATTGGTTGTTGAACAGAATAAAGATTTATCTATAAGAATTTTCAAAACTGTGGGGTTTTAAAAGGAAAAATTTGGAAAAATTCCAATATCCAACAGCAGGGGATTGGATAAAACAAAGAATGACCAACATGGACAACTATGTAACTGTTAAAAATTAGTCTACAAAAAAACAGTAAATGTCATGATAGTATCACATGACCTCATTTTTGTTGAAAACAAAAAAGAGAGGCAAAAACATATGCAAAGATGAAAGACAGCTAACATAGTATATACATCAAGATGTTAACAGTGGATTATCTATGAGATGGTAGGACTATGGGTGACTTTTTTTTTTCCTTATTTATGGTTTCTTGTTTTTTTTAAATTTTATTTTTCTACAATGAACACAATTCTTTTCTAGTAAGAAAAAGAAATTACTCAAAACAAACTAAAACCAAAAGCAAAACTTCTTTGTTTCTAGTTCAAATGAGGAAAAGGCAAGTTTACCTTCAATTTCATCATCGGAAATCAATTCATCATCAGAGCATATGTTGAGAATGTTAACCAGCATCTCTGTGACTATATAAGACAAAATAACCCAAAATTTATATAATTAATAAGGTCCTTTCTCTAAAATAATGTGGATATCTAAATGAACATACATGTTAAATAAGCAGAGATAAAAATGATTTGTCATTATGCTAATAAGAGTAGCTTTAATAGCATTAAATCTAGACCTTCAGGTTTATATGCATTTGGGGAGATTACTTGCTCCACTAAAAATCTGGAGTCTTCGAAGAGTCTATTGTGTAATTACTCAATTTCATTAGACTGCTGTCCAGAGCCTTTTTCTCACTGATATGCACATGAAAAGATTTCTTCCCATTTTACAAAGAAGTTAAGCCACCAGGCCTATGTCCAACAGGCTTATTTTATATATGCATAGGAGTACAAATAAAATTCTAAGGACAATATTTCCTATTTAAATCTCCTTATCACTGAAGAAATCACTGAAGGAATGATGTAGTGACTTATGTCATTTTAATATCTTGATCATAGGAGGATAGTTAATTTAAACTGATATTTAGAATAAGAAAAGCACAATTGACTAGAATTATAATTTAAAAGCCAATTAAGTGCCATTTAAAAACCTTTGTAGAGAACAAAGAAAATTAGAAAACATTTCTGGTAACTTTAAGAAAAACACTTCTGAGCCATTCGGGGCTCATGCAGATATAAAAGTGTGCTCAGTCACTAGTTAAGACAACTGGTGGTCCAGATGCTTTAATTCTCTTACCTTTCTCCCCAACAAAAGGCAAAGACCACGTGAAAACATCCATAAAGTTTGGAAGCCAGTAGGGGTGTGGAGAACAGTTAAACTGCCGGATATTCATGACATTGTTTTCATATTTTAACACAGCAGCTAAAAAAGAAAAAGCAGGACAATCTGGCACAGAGGAACACGACATGGCAACTGGTATGCTGTATACAGCTGTGTACCTATTACACAGAGTTCAGGAACTTACTTTCCATTTGTAAATTCAGGACTTGGTATTTAAAGGCAGATGGAAAATCTTAAAGCATTTTATAAAGTTCATTCTTTTAAGAATTATCCTAATGAACAAAGCTACCCGAAGAGCTCATATAATAAAAGTACAAAAGAAACCGAGCTCTGAAACTTCAAAGGGTCACTGCACAGTAACTATCAACAGAAATCAGGTTCCACATTTGAATATGAGAAAAATTTCATCATAATTTCCCTTTATATGCCAAACAGTTACAATCACAACTCTCCTTTGAGGGCAAACATTTCTCAGGAAATGGACACAGCCTGTTTTGCTAGTCATTAGCCAGAGCCAAAGATTATATAAACTCTCTGAGAGTTTATAATATAGCAGGTATCAATTCATAGTGGGGGATACAGATGGTTAAACCTGGAGCAATCTACAAGAAGCTTCAAAAGTAGATTAAATCATCTCTGCATACAATATAGTGGATAAAAAATGCCCATCTCTCCTATACACAGTCAGTACATTGCTAGCACTCTATAAAAGTTTAATATTAACCAGTTCATAAATTTGCACACATACGTTGGTACCATACTGATTTTCTTTATATTTTAATGACTTTTTTTTTTTTTTTTTTAAAGATTTTATTTATTTTATTTTTTCCCCCCAAAGCCCCAGTAGATAGTTGTATGTCATAGCTGCACATCCTTCTAGTTGCTGTATGTGGGACTCGGCCTCAGGATGGACGGAGAAGTGGTGCCTCAATGCGCACCCGGGATCCGAACCCGGGCCACCAGCATTGCAGCGCGCGCACTTAACCACCAAGCCACAGGGCCGGCCCAGATTTTCTTTATATTTTAAAAGTTTAAAATCTAATTCCTGGGCCGGCCCCGTGGCTTAGTGGTTAAGTGCGCACGCTCTGCTACTGGCGGCCCGGGTTCGGATCCTGGGCACGCACCGACACACCGCTTCTCCGGCCATGCTGAAGCTGCAGCAACTAGAAGGATTTGCAACTATGACATAAAACTATCTACTAGGGGCTTTGGGGAAAAAAAGGAGGATGATTGGCAATAGATGTTAGCTCAGAGCCAGTCTTCCTAAGCAAAAAGTGGAGGATTAGCATGGATGTTAGCTCAGAGCTGATCTTCCTCACACACACACAAAAAAATCTAATTCCTTAGTCTTCATCATCAGCTTCACCATCATCATCATGTTGTTTGCATTATTCTCTTAATTATTCATACGGTGATCATAAATAGAATAGGGTATAAAAGTTCTCTAGAAATGACAGATATAGGTCATCTCCTGGTTCCTGTTTCTTCGCTTAATATAAGATTGCCTAGCGTTCTCAAAATTTAAATTGTTGAATGTCTAAAATGTACACCATAGGGGCCGGCCCCGTGGCTTGGTGGTTAAGTGAGCGCGCTCCACTGCTGGCGACCCGAGTTCGGATCCCGGGCTCCCACCGGCGCGCTGCTTCTCTGGCCATGCTGAGGCCGCGTCCCACATACAGCAACTAGAAGGATGTGCAGCTATGACACACAACTATCTACTGGGGCTTTGGGGGGAAAAAATAAATAAATAAAATCTTTAAAATGTACACCATAGATTATAACGAAAATAGGATCTCCAGCTCTTAAAAACCAAACACTGGCTACAATGTACATGTCCCATTATTTTCATGTATATCTATTTTATTTAAGTCAGATAATATATAATTATTCAACAATTCCCTCAATCTACACAGGAAAAAAGAGTGGGGAGGTGGGTCTCAACAGTGGATGATTAGAAACGAGAGCTTAAAAACTGTCTTTGGGTATATTCCCACTGGACACACAAAAAATAGGAATAGAAAGTTTTAAAAATCATGAGTTAAGCGTCTTTCATATAACCAGTGGAATTAAGCAATACCCGTTGGTACCAATAAGTCTAAAGAATATGCAAGAAAGAAAAGCAACAGCAGAAGAAAGAAAGGAAGGAAAGGAGGACAGAGTTGCCTTTTCCAAGAAAAGAGGTGCTTGCATGGGGAGTAATTGAGGACCACCAGAGATTGTTTCAGTGCCACATTCTCTGCCTTTTTCCTAAAAAAAATGCTAAGAAACAACCAAGGAAAATAAGATCGTTTTAAGATAAAATTACCAATTACGTCAAAGCTGACAGAAAACTCAGGTAGAATGGACTGTGACTTTAAAAGTTTACTAAAGGAATAATCAAGAACAAGACCAGGTTAGAATGGGGCAAAAAGTGAGCTGGCAGTTAGTTATTAAAACAATTGCTGATTTAGGTGACATGTTTCAGCTTAGCACACTGATAAATCCACTGAGCAATCAATAGATATTCGTAACAGTGAGGTGAAAAAACGGAGTGAGAAGGGAAAATCTTTATCCCAAACACAAGGACTAGGGCCACTGCATCCTTGAGGAAGTTTAACACGAGCAGCACATTCCATTCATAAGGGAGGAAACAAGACCAGAATTCGCTCAAATATTTTGGAAATATAAGAAAAAAGGAAATAAGAAAGAATGGAGTTAGGGAGAAGCAGATGATCACAAGATAAGACTCAGAAAAGAATGACAAGAAGCCAAAAGGAAACAGAAGGCTGGGAGAGAACTTAAGTCAAAGAAATGCTTTTTAAAAATGGACAGCAAGTCACTGAAGGACACATTGAGATGACTGATCCAAATCAGATTTAAATGAGATACGCCATTCCATAGGTTACTTTTAGATAGAGGAAATAGTAAGTATATTTTGGACTTCTTTTAAACTTCTTTCCCCAACTGCATATACAAGGTATGACTATAAAGTAATGAGACTTAAGAAACCACCAACTACAAACACACCAGACCTTATATATCAGATGAGTGTGGTCCTCTGATGTAATCACCCCAGGCACAATAACAGTAAAATGTTATAGTATTGTAGCAATTTATAGTTTGACCAGTGCTTTTAATATTCATTTTTATTATTCCAACTTATCTTCGACAACCCTACATGAAAGGTATTTTAAAGATAAACTGAGGCTCAGAGAAGTTAAGTGTCTTGTTAAATGTGAAGTATCTTGTTAACTGAATTTAAAAGTGAAGCAGGACTAGACTAGGATTTCTGATTCCTAGCTTAGTGCCCTTTTCAGTACACCTTGCTGCCTTACCATATATGTAGTCCAAAGATGCTGCCATTACTCAAAACATTTTTGGAACTCCTCTTTTGGAATTGCCCGCAGAGCTATTTTACAGCAACACAAGAAAAATCAGTCTCATTACCTTATAATCATACCTTGTTTCTGACCCCAAATGGTATCGTCTAGCTTGATCACTCACCTTATTCATTAGTCTTGACTCCGAATGACTTTTGGCTGTTCCAAAAATCAAATCCACCCTCAAAGGACGAAGATTTCCCATCATTGAGGATAATCAAAAGAATGTGTCGCAGACTCTGAAGGCAATGCCAAAAGAGGAGTTCCAAAAATGTTTTGAACAATGGCAGCATTGCTGGAATAAGCATATAGCCTCCCAAGGTAACTACTTTGAAGGGACAATACTCGCTTGGATATATACGTTCTGGCATGTTTCTTTAAAACTTCCATTATTTTATAGCCATACTTTATAAACAACATAACAGGTACAGAGGCATGAAGTTTTTAGGTGGACTACTGCTCTGATACAAAATTTATGAACAATGAATCCTAAAAGTTAAATTTACGAAAAGACTTTAATAGAATAAAGTCTTAGAAGTAGAATTTCTGGATCAAAAGGCATGTGTATATCTAATCTTCTTCTTTTATATGAGAACCTGAGGTTTAGAAAGATTGTGTGACTTACCTAAGTCACACTACTGGTTTCTGGCAGGGCTTGGACTAAAAGGAAGATTTTTCTGACTTTTTGTACTGTATTCATTCTACCTGTACCATACTTCAAGAAGAGCAAAAACAGCTTAATAATTCACAAACATTAAAATACCAAAAGGTGACATTTTATTGAGGTACTGTTATGAATAAATTAAATTCAGTAAAACCCATAATTTATGCTGACTATTCTAACTTGAACCTGAAGTAATTTATTCTTCTTATGTTTTGATTCAGTAGTACCAATAAGACCTATTGTGATTATTATTTACACTCACAAAGAGCCCCATAATTCTTAGGAGATGAAAACCAAGCAGTAGGTTAAATTCTAAGTTTATTGGCCTTTGTTTCAATTAAGACCTCTTTTTTTCTTATTTAAAATTTATATATATTAAAAAAAATACATGTACACATACATATGATTAAACTAGAGCTCACATTTACTCACAAATTCAAACTCAAGTATCACTGGACTCCTTTACCTTTATTGTTATAGACATCTAGGTAATTGGGGGCGGAGAAAATTGTAATGAGTGATGGAAAGCCTGTTGTTTGGCTCTTCCGGTACATTCGATACCTGGAAGAGAGATGACAGCCCATCTGTCTTGATATCAAAGCAAAAATTCTGCAGTGATATTTGGTACAGTTTTAATATAACTTACCCAGCATCTTGGGCTTCGTGGGCTCTGATTATTGATAACAAATTATTGTTCTGCAGAAATTCACAAACTGCAGGATAACTGAAAAAGAAAATTAGAAAACATAAATCCAGAATTTAAAAAATTGTTTTTTAATTGGAGGAAAGGGAAAAGTCAGGATGACATGAATTGATTTTGGTTCAAAATTATAAGCTTTACATACCACTGAACTTTTATTAATAGCTTAGCAATCATTACTTGATTCTTCCATTTCACTAATATATCTTATTCTAGATCAAATATGCAAATAACAGACAACTCTAGGACAGAAAAGAGCTCCCCCACCTATTTTTGTCTTAGCCCATACAATAACAACACAACGCCAAAACTTTCTTGGTATCTTTTTTTTTTTTTTTTTTTTTGGTGAGGAAGATCAGCCCTCAGCTAACATCCATGCCAATCCTCCTCTTTTTGCTGAGGAAGACAGGCCCTGAGCTAACATCTATTGCCAATCCTCCTATTTTTTTTTTTCCCTTTTTTCTCCCCAAAGCCCCAGTAGATAGTTGTATGTCATAGTTGCACATCCTTCCAGTTGCTGTATGTGGGACGCCACCTCAGCATGGCCTGACAAGCAGTGCGTCAGTGCATGCCCAGGATCCGAACCTGGGCCGCCAGTAGCGGAGCGCGCGCACTTAACCACTAAGCCACCGGGCCGGCCCCCTCTTGGTATCTTGATATAAAAAAGTACCATAGTAGTATGTATGTGTATAGTAGGTGCTAGAAACTGAACACATGATTTTCAAATTGTCCAATTGTTAGAAAAGTTAAAGAACCTACTTAAATCTTCACAAGTAATATTAACACCAAGATGATATTATGCAGGAATATTTCAAGAGTAAATGCAAATATTATACCAAACATTATTCTAATGAAAGGTATGATATTTGCATCTACTCCTAACAAATATTTTTAGTACTATTATCTTTGTGAATGAGAAATATCTGAAAAAAAGAACTGGAGAATACAAAACCATCCTGAAATTATCCAAATGTTAATTATTTAGTTTATGTTTGAATCTTTGTTTCTTACTATGCTCACTAGAAAAAATTAACTTTTAAAAGAGGCTGTACATTCACAGGGTATAAAATAGAAAGACACAAAAGGGTAAAGTGAAATGCCTCTCTCCTTTCCACCTCTATCTTCCAGCTACCCTGGAAGCAACCAATGTTCCTGGTTTCTTTGAGTACCCTTTCAGAGATACTCTATTCAATTTCAAGCAATCACACAGACATACATGCACATGCCTCCCTCACTTGCAGAAATGTTATCAGATGGTACGCATAGCTCTGTACTAGGTCTTTTTTTCACTTCACATTAGTGATTATTCCAAATCAGTATATAAAGGGTTGGTTTTCTTTCCTTCATTTTTAAAAAACAGCTTCATTGCATTGTCTGGTACATTCCATTGTCTGGATGTATGACAATTTATTTCACTAGTCTTCTATTGAACATTTAGGTTGTTTTAAATCTTTTATCATAAATAATGTAGCAATGAATAACCTTGTTACATATATTTTACACATTTGCAAGTATAGTCGATTCTAGTTACCTGCAGTAGCTATGTTCTATAAAGTTGCTGCAAAAACTGAATTAGGGAATACTGAACCACTGCTCCCAGGGCAAATACAGTGTTAGGGTCCTGTTAGCCTTTGGTCACAACATTTTCATCAACCGATCAATATATAACCTTGTTTTATGTGTGTTTCTGAGTAAAGACACCTTATTTAATATAATTGTTGATTCATTAACATGGAACTCATGGCCAACAATGCCACAACTCATTCCTAAGTGAAGTTTATACAGCACACACGTATTTTCTCTGTAAGGTACATCACAGCCTTGTTGCATACAGGAACACTAGACAGCACTCAGCACTACGCTTGGGGGCATTTTAAACAGCAAAATCACCAAAAAAAAATGTGGAAAATGTTGCACTAAATAGACCACAAAAAAAATACTTACAGTATGAGATATGCTTACAATATGAGAGCTGAAACAAGAAGTCAAAACAACTCCTCTTTCAGCCTCAGCTGGGAACATGTGAGGTGACTCAAATTTTTCATCACTCTGCACGTATGCATGTCCATGAATGACCATGAAAGTGCTATGAGTATTGATTTTGGGGCCACAAATAAATCTTATTAAGTAGGCAAATTTGCAAATCAGAATTCGTGAATAATGAAGATCTACTAGATAGCCACAGGATTATGTTTTAGAGTAGAACCTCTGGAGCAAAGGCCATGGGCATTTATAATTAAGAGATATTGCCAAGTTGACCTCCATAGAAATTGTGCTAACAGTGAAGAAGTACTGTGCTCTTTATTTTAGGCAATGTAAAGAGAAGTAAAATTTAAATGATTTCATCATTTTAGTCACTGCTAAAGTTGGCAGAAAGGAATGAAAAAAGGTTGCTTAGAAGAATGTTAAAACTATGGCAAAATTGAGGCTTCTTACTTTTGTATGTGAATGTCATTTAATGTATGCAGTATCTTAGGCAATTAACAAAGATTTTTAAGGGACTAAAATTATTTGTCACAATAAAATGTCAGGATTTAAAAAATTTAGACTTCAAACTTCCCTATATCTCCCTATTTTTGAGTGTCAAAGCACAGTGAAGGCTTACATATGAGATTTAAGACAACAGCCAACTTCCAGGAAATGTCCTGGGCTTAGTTTACAATGTCCTGTTCTTTTCATATCTCTGCCTATACCAGTAGGTCCAAAAGCTGGAGAGCTTTTTAAAAAAACAACAGGATTCCCTTGTCTTAGATCTACTGAATCAGAATATCTGGGGGAAGAGCCAAGAAATCTTTATTTTTAAAAAAGTCTATAGCTGATGTTTGGGAACAAATAATCTAGATTGTTTAGAGTCAGATATTACTGAAGCACTACAAGATGTTTTGTTCAATCGTGTTCAGTATATTACACTTAATAGGGCAAATACCTAATCAAATATAAACAAACAAGAGTATCAAAAAATTACACAAATTCAAGATGTAAAATACTTTAAAATAACTTGATAAACTATATTACAATTTCCTTTCCTAACTTTATAACTCTGAGGATTAGCTTACCTGTAAAAATAAGAGCACCCTCGGACAGTGTTGTGGGTATAGTGCTCCAAGGTCTTTTCATTGCCATAATCCTCTGAGGGATCAGACCAAAGCAGGTCACACACTGGCCCAAAGGCTGGAGGTTCTTTAAACCTGTCTAACTAGAAGACATGCAAAAGCCAAAAGAAGAAAAATCATGAAAGCAAAAGAGCTTTTAGAAACTGGTATGGGTAAAAAAAACCCCTTCCACCCACAAGAATGTATTAGGAGAGAAGGTGGTAAGCCTCTGAAGGATTTTCCTGCAAGAAAATGAATATTTAACAAATTTAGATACACAATTTTTATTTTTTGCAATAAATTTTTATAAATATCCCTGTCATCTAACCATACTGTAGAAAAGAACTCCCTTACATCCTAATCTTAAAAGCAGTACTCATTTAATTCGAATGTGAAATCAACCACTATAGAGATACACTATTATTTAGAAAGACTATGTAAAGTTCATTTCAATTGCCTATGTGAGCCAATGTTACCATGAGAGCAGGGAGGGTTTTACAATGGTTTTGTTCATTGTCTACCTCATTCCAATGGAGATTTATTTTAAAGAATGCTAGTTCTCTTTTGTAAAGGGCTTTTATCCTTTCTAGTCTGTACAGTGGAGGTATTTCAATATCAGTTATTAACTTAAGCCTGCACTTACCGCTGCTTTGGCTAAAATCATAAAAACCAAGAGAAAACAAGTAACCAGAATAGCCAAGTGTCAAGAAGAGGACTTCTACTAAATGAAAGGGGAGCTTTTTATTAATGCAATTGATTAAGAATTGTAAAATTCAAGATATCCTATGTAAAAGAGAAATGCTGGTTATTTAAAAGACAATCAGGCAGCAGAAAAGGCAGTGCATATAGGCACACCCTCTTACTCTGAGGAGAGTAACCTTAATTCTGAGAAAATAGTTTTATAAACAGAAAAATCTTTAGTCTCAGTACCTATATGAGAGAGGTAAGAGAATACAAAGGTAGAGAGGAGAAGATGGTAACATAGAACAAAATAAGTCTGATCATCTTTTTTCTATCATGAGATACAGAATCCTGGAAATAATAATCACCCAGTCAGGAAAGTGTAGCAATTAAACTCTATCATCTAAAATGTCAAAGTCAATGAATTTCAGAGCTGGAAGAGTCTTTAGACCATCCATTACAACTTCCTCATTTCACAGAGAAGAAAATGTGACTCAGACGTTAAGCGACCTGGTCAAGGTTACACAATGGCAGGACAGGGATTAGAACCCTGGTTTCCCTCCTTCCGCATTGCTAGATAATTTAAAGTTTCAGGGCTATACTCAAAAAATGTTATGTTTCTAGCTGGTAAAAGCACAGATTTCATTAAAAATTACAGAAATTTGCTGGAAGATATATAGCAAAATGTTAACAGTAGTTACCTCCCAATAATGAAACCACAGGTAATTTCCATTTTCTTACTTTTGATTATCTGTAGTATTTAAAATTTTTCAGCAATCAAGACATATTAGTTGACTACAATAAAGAACAAGATTAAAAAATACATACACCCCATGAGACTAACAAAAGCTTACTTACTTTCCTAATGTCATCTAAACAAGTAATTTCAGGTGACATCCCTCCGTGCACACAAAGAAACTGCTGGTTTAAGAGGGCAGCAAGAGGAAGACAGTCAAATGTATCCATACACGCATCATACACCTGTTCAGAATATTTGATTCGACCTGCCAAAAAAGGAAAAGCAGTCAAAGGAAGAAAAGCTAAAATGTATCATATATGAAAAAGGACATAGGCCAGAAGATTATAAAGCTACTTCCAAGTCCTTTATTTCAGGCAAACTTGAAAACACAATCATCTTTGTAAAGATCTTTTTGAAGAGTTGTGGATAAAGGGTAAACAAAATCTCTCTCCTTCTCTCAAGTCAAGGGTGACCTTGGATTAACTCTCTAGCTCTGTTGCCCTAGAAGCCTGATAGGGTGAATGTCAGCTGTGTTATTAGGCAACACTGCTTTTGATAAAAATTACCCAAATGTCTGGTGGGAAACTATAGCTTTGGGCTTCTCTGAGTGCGTGACTTATAAGGTATGTCCCTTGTGCGACTCTGGAAGCTATGCCAGTAAAGCTTTTACAAGAGATATTGGCACTTGTAATGCATAAGGCTTCTAAGTCAGGGTGGCTCCCTACTTTGCCCAGTGTGGATACTGTTTCCTTGCACCATAGCTGTGACTTGGAGAGGGTGGGAGGAAAGAGAGGCAAGAGGCAGAAAACCTCTGGACTGCTGTATGCACTCCTATGAGGGCTACTCCACTGAAAAGGGATGCCTCGTGCTGCCCTTCCTGGACTGCATCCTTCTAAGTAGATGGATGCCAAGTATGGTCCATGGTAGTCTTGTGAGTTTGAATATTTTGTTGTATATATTTATACAAATTATTATATAAATATGTATATATTTAAATACAGACATTTATTTTCTGAGGGATTAGATTAAAGGTGATATCTAGGGGCTGGCCCGGTGGTGCAAGCGGTTAAGTGCGCGCGCTCCGCTGCGGCGGCCCGGGGTTCGCTGGTTCGGATCCCGGGCGCGCACCGACGCACTGCCTTGGCAGGCCATGCTGTGGCGGCGTCCCATATAAAGTGGAGGAAGATGGGCACGGATGTTAGCCCAGGGCTGTCTTCCTCGGCAAAAAAAGAGGAGGATTGGCAGATGTTAGCACAGGGCTGATCTCCTCACAAAAAATAAAAAATAAAAAAATAAAGGTGATATCTATATTTTTCTTTTACTTAGTTTAGCTGTATTTTCTATGATGGATATATAATATTCGTATATTAATATTATTATTACATTACCTTTATTATTGAAATTTGTTGAAGGCTCACAATGTGCCCATGCCATCAGTGAGCTAAGTGTTCACTGCAGCATGGTGGTCAAGAGAATGGAGTCTGAACCTGACTAGCTGGATTTGAACCCCGGCTCCATCACTTACTAGCTATGGTACTTGAGAAAAATTACTTAACTCTCTGTGCCTTGATTTCTTCATCTATAAAATGGGCATAATAATAATACTTACCTACATTACAAGGTTGCTGTGAGGATTAAAGGAATTCATATACATAAAATGCTTTGAATAATGTCTGGCACATCATAGGTACTATATAAGTGTTAACCAATAAAATTACCTTATTGAATCCTCACAGAAACTCTATGAAGTAGATACTATTACTATCTTCATCAAAAAGCCGAAGAAATTGGGCTTACTTGCCCAAAGTTGCAAGCTAACTGGAACTTGAAACCTGTTCATTCTCTTAACACCATGCAATACTCCTCCCAATCATTATTTTTAAATTAAACATTTAATAGGAGAATCTAAATAGCAAAATATATAATTTCCAAAGGTTAAATCAGCTGACTCAAGTTCTTTATTTTCACGACAAATTTTAAGATATACCCCATAAAACAATTATTTCTATAATGAAGGGAAAATGTACCTCAGTCATAGGATTACACTGACACAAGTTCTAACTAGCATCAGTAATACAACACTAACAAAACAAAATTTTCAACAATATTCTTTGAAGGTAATTTTAAGGGTCAGAACTATTTGCAAGAAACCACGACCCAGTCTAGCCATTGATTAAATATTTGTTTTAATTTTTATTTGCTTTTATTATTTAAAAAAATAGGTAATACATTTACATGGTTCAAAATTTAAAAGCTACAAAAGAGGATGCAGGCCCTCTCTGCAGGCAACCAGTATTTCTAGTTTTCTGTGTGTCTTTACAAAGACATTCCATGCATACACATGCAGATATGTACATTTATTCTCTTTTCACAACAGCCTTTTGTTTTTTACATAAATGGTAGCATACACTGTTTTGCACTTGCTTTTTGTATTTAATACAATTGCATATTTTGGAGATCATGCCACATCTTTTTTTTTTTGTGT